TAAAAATCGTTGTCTTAGGCCGGCCTACCGCCCAATTCGAGCGCGTGGCAAGATGTGACCGCCCGGCGATCGATATTGCTATGCGCACATCTCGCCACGCGCTCGAATTGGGCGGTAGACCGGCCTAAGACAACGATTTTTAATAATTAATTACTCGTTAAATATTACGAAAATTGCAAAATGGTACAGGACTTTTCCATTCATCTCGATCCGTTCTACCTTCTCAAAAATTTTGTCGGATATGGAAAGACTCACCCTGTATATGTCACGCGTTTACGTAACAAAGTAAATTGAAAGATTTATTGCGTTAGAAGCATTCTTTGTACCTAAAAAATCATATTACATCTTTCATTGAACATGAAAGGATTGAAATGTACCACGAGACACGCCTCGCTGTGCGGGCATTGAAATCCCTGAACTTGGAGCCACGTGCGATCGAGCTCAACAGAACGAGAATGTTAAAAGAAAGTAAATTAAACTGTGAACATTTTCGTTAGACTTTGAGAAAAGAATTGGAAGAAATACGGTAAAATATATCAAGATATAATTAATCAAAATATAATAACGAAGATGAATTGGAATGATGCGAAAGAGAGAAAAATGATTAAATATGTCACATGATAATTACGAGATAGATTTAGAAAGTAAATATACTTCAATTAAGATATATTTGCCACGAAAGCGAAGAGAGGAGAGAAAAATGAAACGAAAGGAAGAAAACGGATACGTAAGAAAGAGAGATATTTATAGCAGGCGTTTTAGTTTGATGCATATGTATGCCTGACACGTGAGCAAAAGCAGTTAAACAAGAAGATACTTGAAAAATGTAGCAGGATGTGGCGCGATACTTGCACACGCACCAGCGTAGGGGATGCAATTAAAAGCCTCTCTAAGAAATTGTCGGGCGAAAGAAAGAGAGAATATAACGGCGGTAATCACTGGCCGTGCGCAAATTAATCACTCCCGATTGGAAAGATGGATTTGCGTAATTTGCATGCTGTCTACCCGGTAATCGATCCATCCAAACGACATCCTTGCGTTCTCTCGGACGTTACAGATACGGTATCCCACGATTGTGGGCAAAAACGCGCCTCGGAGCGGCGGCGTCGAGAGTATAAGCCCCGAGTGAGTTGGCTTTTTGCGATTATGAATAAGCTACTACGGTTTTAACGGATCAGTCTTTTCTTGTCCGCGGATACTTCCGAGCACCAGCTCGGTCTTTTAAAAATTGCTTTTCCTTTTTATAACGAACAGACAGTTCGATATTTTCTGTACACAAAGATTGGAAATATTTCAACATTTCGAAAATAATATTCGAGGTAACGCGAGCCACTTTAGCTGCTAAATAGTTTTGCGCTTCATCTAAAATGCATTAAGAGTACATTTATCATATATTCCGTGCATTAATTTCTGTCCGATTTCTTTCGTGCGAAGGTAGATTTGTGTGAGTAGTTAGGTACATTCGTCCAGAACTGTCAGACATTGCTCATTAACAGTCTATATGGAAATCACAAAAAGCGCCTGAGTCTCGCGTAAGGAACTGAAATTAATCGAAGAAGGTCGCGCGCCGGGTGAACCTCCTCATTATTGAGCGACCCTGCATTATGGCAAGAACAGCCTCCGGTTCGTGAGTCGCGACTCGTTCGAAATTGGTTCGCCAACAGGTCGTACGACGTCTTCGACTCGGGGAGCCAGATAATTGGGCAATTAAACTCGCGCCGAGGGAAAACGAGCCGAGGAGAGAGAAGGAGAAAGAGAAAAAATACGAGAAGAACGTGGTAGCTGCAGGCTTTGCTGAGTCAGCTGTGGCGCTGGACCTGTTATAAATAGCTCCGCGAACTTATTCTCGCACCGATCCGGCGATACCGCTTCCATATCTGGAATCTCGTGTACCAGTATTTCTTCGCGTCACACATGCACGCGTGTGCACGTGTCGTGGCCACCGCTCGCCCCGGTTCGATCTCGTGAGCGCCTCGGGACACACGAGCCCATTCAAACGGATGTCGTTCGACGGAAAATCGCACAGAAATATTAAAAGAATGCGATGACACGACATTTCGTTTCGAGTTCAATGAAATTGCACGCTGAGATTCTCGAAGGAACTGTCAATCGGTAGTTGACTCGACGACGAGTTAACGAAATGCAGCTTTGGACACAATTAAATCCTTCCGGTCGTCCTAGTCCGAATTTTTTTCGACATTATTTGGAAACTAACGAGAAGTAACCTTCAATGTCGCTAGTGTTAATTAAAAGACTTCCAAGATAACTTGGCCATGTCTGGCAATTTTTATGTTAAAAAATCACAACGTCATTTTGTATTGTACAAATTGTATTGTAATGTACAAATTTGTACTATTATAGATCACTTGAAAAGGACCACAAACCATGGTCGAAACGTTGTGATTTTTTAACATTAACATTTGCCAAACATGGTCAAGTTATCTTTGAAGTATATTACTTGAAAAGTTACTTACAACATAAGAATTATTCAGGCACTAACATTCTGTCACGGCTCTTTATTCCTTCGGATTTGTGTCTATCACTTGAGAGCCTTATGAACTTTATTAATTCGTTAAAAAGTTTTATCTAGAATTTATGCGGACAAGTAAGCAACAGAAATAATCCTTGCCTTAGAAAAAAAATGACTTGCCGATTTAACAACTGTGAATTTGTTTCGTTGAACAGTGAAATTTGTGTGCCTGTCACACCTTCTCTTATTAAATTTTGTTTTAATGTCTCGAACACTCAACTAGTAAACTGTTTTAATGAAATAGTAGCTCACCTTGAGATATAATCCGCGAATGATATAATATGATATGTAGGTGTTATGCATGGAAAAGGAACTGCTTGAATGCAGATACATTAATTTGTGGAAAAGACCGCTTCAACGTGGTGCATTTTCGTATACCGCATAAAAAAATCACAGCGGATATCACACGCGGTGTTATAAATAAATTACTTCGGTCTTTTAATATCTACCTGAGATTATACAATCCACGTATTAATGTGTGATGCCCAAAGTGACGGCGTACTCGATTAAACGTTGAATTGCCAGCTGAAGACGCAAGACGTTAAATGTCCTTCGACATGGCTGCGACCCCGCCGTAAAAATTCTAGCTCGAGATTACGAAGGGCGTCCTCCGCTTAAGCAGGGAGGCATTTACGAGTTAACGATCGGCCCGGAATGATCGCGCGATAAACGCATTTAATGCACCTTCCGCTCGTTCGAGATAGCGTTGCGAATGTAAGTAAATGAAGGAATTACCTCGTTTGAGAGATTAGTGTGTTTGGCAGCGCCAAAGGTGCTCGAGAATACGACGCCCGCATACCACAAAAGATAATCACGCGTGAATAATCACCCGTTTTTACGGCGCCACTTCACATTTAATTGTTGCAGAAACGTACAATCGCCGCCAAAGTTGTTTCTCAGCTTTAAAACTTCACAATACACTTTACGTCGAGTAACGCGCGGAATATAACAAGCGCGTAAAATCGAACATTTTACGAAATGTTCAATGCGCATTTAGAGTTGGCAAGTGAATATTTTACACTGCGTGTAAATCGAGTTGGATCCGTTTATTCCTGAAGTTACACTTTCACATCAATCGTCTTCAGCATATGATTCCAAGTATTATCTCCCTCGACGCAACGTCAGATTTCTTTTTCGATTTGCTCCAAACTATATTTTTATTTTCAACATACCGACCAGTATTCTTGAATAACACGTGAACGTTAAATCGAATCCTTTCGTGTCTTCTTTCTAGGCGTACATCTCCTGCGCCTTGGGCGTCCACAGAGTCGGCTACGTCATGATCTGCTTCGGGGTGGTTAACGCTGGCTGCTCCTTGCTATTCGGCTCGCTGATGAAATTCGTCGGCAGACAGCCGCTGATGGCACTGGGCGCCATCGTTCACGCCTCTCTCGTGGTCGTCCTCCTCATGTGGAAGCCTCATCCCGACAATCCCTACGTCTTTTTCTCGGTCTCAGGACTGTGGGGTGTGGGCGATGCCGTGTGGCAGACGCAGGTTAACGGTGAGTGTTTATCGCATTTTATATGTTAATGTCAGTCAAAGTCGAGGGGTAAACCTGGGTCGAGCCGCTGACCAATCATCGTGCACTCAATGCCCACTAATGCCCAGTGGGCATTACTTGATTTTGTCGTATTTATCTTGTTTTATTTTTTGATGTCCCGGTGAGGCCTAGTGATGCCCAGTAGTGCCGCAAATCTGTACACCGCAATGCCCTCAGCGGTTTATCCCTCGGTCAAAGTATTGCGAGATAACAAAAAGCGAAAAATTTCACACTAAAAGATATTGCGCCGATTGGGAAGATTTCGCAGATCTGTCGGTACTTTAAATATACAATTTTGTTACGTCTCCATTTCAAGCTATCAAACATTTTAAAAATATTAATAAATATTAGCAAAAGATATTACATATTGGGTGTTATTAACTATGCGACTAGGATCGAACACAACGAATCAAATATCACAGTGCGGAACCAAGAAATTATTTGCCATTGTCAGATTGAAGTTTATGACACGGTCAAAGATAGCAAATCGTCCTGGACATATGGATTTATTTAACTGTCTTTGAAAACCGGATTCATGAATTTTGATTATAAGCCATCGATCCCGTCAAGATTTACCGGCTACATTTCACATTTGTTTGCTCGCAGTCAATACGGATATCGATAGATGAGACGGACTTACTTGACGAACATTCTTAATGCATTCACAAGTAATATTTGTCTGAAGATACATCGCTTCTCATCAATATTAACGGCCCTGCTGAGAGTTAGGGTCACTGATCGACCTGGTCCGAAAAAAAAGGAGAACAAGCGGATTTTGCCGCCGTTGAGTTCGCAGAATCCATAAAATCACTCTTTATTTCGCAATATGTAAATGTTGATTTTCCAACCGGATGTCGTCCGTAAAAAGTGTCTCCCCTTCGGCGATTGCTCCTTATTGACAAGACGTTAAGTGAAAAGTTCGATGGCGTAATCGGTAAAAAAAAATCAAACGTGGAGGAAATAATAAATTGCGGCTTAATGAGCGAATAAATTGCCTCGGTAATTATCGTCTGTCGGATCGATAACAACATAATTTTCCTCACGGTTACACATGTCGCCGTCTCATGATCGGTCGAATTAATAAACGGCGTATGATTGATGAGGGTACTCTCTCTCTCTTCGTAACCAAGACGCGAACGCCCGGCAGACTCTTTTAAGAAGAGCAGTCACGATTTCGAATGTTAATTTCGTAATACACAAAAATTTTGTAACACAAAACATTTTAGTGTGCCATACCGGTAGTATAGAATATTCTTGCCGATGGCTACATGCTGGAGTTTTTCTAAATAAGAAATACATCACTGCCCTTGTTTGTCTTGAGGAAGACATAAAAGAGATTCCCTTTAACTCTCTCGTTGCCAGTTTTTGCTGTTATCTAAATAAAATTATATAGATGATTATCTAGATAAAATTTTAGCGTTATCTTATCTTTATATAGATAATAAAAATAAGTATTGTCTATATCTGCATCTTAGATGAAAGAAAGTGTTATCTTTACTAAATTATCTAAGATAACGTACAGATAATTTGGTTTAGGGCCACATAAAAATATTTAACAGTTACACTATTTAAATATGGATGGCGTTGTAGACCATGCATTTATGTGTGTGTCATATAACTTAACCTGAATATATTCTATATCCACCTTTATAATTAATATTTTTCTATAATTTTTTATAATTTTTTCTACTGCGTTTACATGAAGTCTTAAAAATATTATCTGAAAATTATCTAGATAAATCATCATATAATTTTATCTTTTATCTAAATATATTCGAAACGCAATCATCTTTATCTTATGTAAGATAAATTTATATATTTTTATCTTATCTTTATCTAGCTAATTTTAAAATCATCTATGCACAACACTGCTCATTGCATAAAACTTGAAATTAAGCAAATACCCGCGGTTATTGCAGCGACGACGACGGCGACATGAAAAGATGATTCCAGTCTTCGTTGATCATGTTTAAAAATGCAGAGATAATGCTCGCATAAAAAAAAACACTCAATACTAATTTCTCGTACACAGACCCGGAATTCGATTCGCGCTCAAGAACATTTTGTTTCCTAGCTCACACACATTGTCACTCTATCATTAACGAAAAGAGATATTCTCATTAGAAATAAGAAATTTTTCAAAGATTGTGATTCCTTTTTCTTGAATCGAAGAACGAATATTCGAGCGACGTTTTAATAATTTTGCGCGTTTACAATCGCTGTGCGCTCGTACGAAAAACGACCGAACGACACATGGCGATTTTGCGTTACTCGCACACAGCAGGTTTGTCTTTGTATGCAACCAGAGCTTCTGCATAGATCTACACGGTCGGGAAGCGAGTCTCGTTTGTTTTTATTTTTTTTGCCTTGGCGCGTCTCCTTTGCGAGATTAATCGCACTTTACCGATCTGTTGGAATCACGTCACGAGATTTTGCAGAAACCGATATGCAAATCCATTTGACCACGTGTATATAAAAACGCACAATGTAGACGGCTGCACTCGCTTCACATCCGGTTTTGTCAGTTAATTGCGCGTAACGCGTGTACCGTGAGAATCTCTAATTTTAACGCGCTAAATAATGGTCGGTGTTATTACCTAAAAACACGCCTCTAAAAATTGTCACAGAAAAATCTCTCGAGTTACAACAGTCAATATACAAGTGAACATTTTTCTCGGGCAGTTTCGAGGCTTTTCGTATTACAATAATAAGCTATTATTGCGCAGTCTTTGAAGACCAGGCTGGAAAATCCCATTTGCCAAGTTTCAGCACATTCGCTTTAATTTAAATAAAAACGTAAGCGATTAAGGCTATCGTCATAACAGACCAATGTAAACTCTCGTGTATTATACTTCTCTCCCACGGATTTTCCATCTCCATTTGGGTCATTTATTTCCCTAACGCGGTATCGCGCATCACCGGCAGTGCTATCATTATCGCAGTTACGTGCTTTCTGAAAGCGCATCTAACGAGCGCCGGCAAGTCAAGGATTCGATCCACCTGCAGGCTCGTTATTTCGCCGTCAAACGCTTAGCGACGATGAACGTGAAACGACCTCGGTGCATACACGTGGTACCTGGATGCACCTATTGGTAGCCGCGAATCCGATAAAAACACCTGCCAAGTCATACGCAACAAACGAGATCGTTTAAGTCGTTTACCGTTTCAGTTAAGAGTGCGAATCAGAGATTTTTCAAGAGAGAGAGGGAGGGGGGATTCTGAATACGCTTAATTTTTTATCTTGTCTTGAGAAATCTTGAAAATATTAATATGAAAAATGTCGGTTAAAAAATGCCCACAACGTTTAATTTTGACATTCTATTTATTAACTATAAGATGGAAATTTTTTTTTGGTCAATAACTCTTTCTCTTTCTCCTCTTTTCTCTTAGATGCTAAATCATTAATAATGTTAAGTTTTCCCTGCCACAATAAATACTCATTTGATTGACTATTACAGGACTCTACGGCACGCTGTTCAGGCGCAACAAGGAGGCGGCCTTCTCGAACTACAGGCTGTGGGAGAGCGCCGGTTTCGTGATCGCGTACGCGTACAGCACGCACCTATGCGCCCGCATGAAGCTGTACGTGTTGCTGACGGTGCTGATCACCGGCACCATAGGCTACATCATCGTCGAGCTGCTGCACAGACGCAAGCAACGGCGGCTAAAAGCGATCGCCGAGGACCCGAAGGCAGCCCAGGCAGCTGCCGAGGCGAATCAGCCGGAGGAGACCGACGACGAGAAGGACGACCTCGACGACGAGATCATCATCACGCACCTGTGAGCGACGGCCCGCGTAGTCGACGTAGTCGTTCCTCTTTAAAAGTCCTCGCGTCCGCACCGCTTGTACGTCTCGTCGATGGGGAAATCGAGACGACAGCCGGAAGATCCGATTGATCGATCAGCGAGCACTCTTTACTTCCGCTACATCCGTCGAGATCTTCCGCCTGCCGTCCCCTCGTTGTTGCTTGTCAGTCCCTCTGCCCTAAACTAGAGCCGCGCTGAGATCATTGAGCAGCCGCGGCACTCTTCCCCGCGGGCGAGGAAAGCGTGCTTCCGGCGGTAGATCGACGCTACCTCCGGAACGACGTGGGACCGCGTCTCATCGCGAGGTGGTCAAAGATTGAAGCGCGACCTCGAGGGAACGGTGAGTACGCCCACGACTTCCACGATGAAGTGGAGACACCGGGCGTCGACTCCGAATGCTTCTCTTCGAGGTAATGCCGGGTGCAGGCTGAAATCTGGCTTCCACCTTCCTCAGCGGAACCGGAGCGTGGTTGATGGTAGATAAGTAAATATACTTATCGATACGTAGTGGTGCTAAGAAACGCGCGATAATGTAAAATTCGCCCTCGTGCTACTAAAAATGTAGAACTTCCGCCGCCGTTACTTCATCAATGCCACGATGAGGCATCATCTCGATCCGTTTTCTTCGCACGAGCGGGGACATAACGCGCGGCGCGGAGGCGAAAAGTGCATTTTGTCGCGCACAATCCGTGCGCAAAACGCGTTAAAAAAATGTATGGCAGTCCTAGAAGTATTCAGTTTGTGTCGCGTATTTATTGCAAAATTGCGAAACGACCCGGCGACTTTTATCGCGTATCGAGGAGAAGAATTAAGGGAGGCCAGAAGCATTTTTACTCTTTAAAATCTGAAGCATCATTACACTTTAGAAGAAACATTCAATGTTTCCGTGCATTTCCCTTCGTTTCCGCGATCTTGTTGAACGAGAAGAAAACTTCGCCGCTGTATCAGGCTTTTACTGAAAATTAGTTTCATCCGTTTGTGTTAACACGAAGAAATGCAGGTCTTCATCAATCGAGTACAATTTGTAAATACTACTTTATTTCGCAAATAAAAATGCACGCACGTAATTTGTGATTAACGAGAATTGACGCGAAAATTGGTCGTATTTATTCGAGGATATTCAGGATATATTTTCCTTTCAATTTATAATACTCGTTTGTAATACGTTTAAAGAAATCGTTTGAAGGAAGGAGACAATCGTCGCTGTGAAATGTATCATACGTCGTGAGGAATGTCTTTATATCAGTCACGTATGGCAGTCGGAGTCCCTCGTATTTCTTTTCTTCCGAGAGAAACACGTGAGATATCGGTGTGAGTCTACATGCGAAAACAGTATTTTTCCCGCCGGGAATAAGCGAACCGAGGGGAATAGACGGAGGTGCGTTCTTTGCGGGGGGATCGAGTTCCTAATCTTCAAAGTTTCGCGATCATTTCGCTTGTACGCGATCATCCCTCTATTACTCCGTTCTAATTCTTCGTTTTACTTCGTATAAGAGAAAACTTTCTTATTTTCCGCATCCAGGATTTAAAGATATTCTTTTTCGCAGCCGAAGTAATGAAAATAATGAAATAAGCGTCTTCTTATGTCGCATGCATTGGGCCACACGTCGCGGTTGAAAACTTCGAAGAGCGAAGCTCGGTCGATCACCCAACGCTACGGCCTATTCTCCGCGGGAATCTTATCGCGTGTCGCTTTTCGTTAAACCAGGCGGACTAGGCGCAAGAAACATATCAAGTCACTACAAACATCGCAAACCGCTTGGATGCAGTCTCTCTAATCAGAGTCTGGCCAATAGGCAGTTTCGGCAAAATGATGCGAGAGAGAAAGAAATATATTAATTATGAAATATTTGGCCGAAACTGGCCTGTTGGCCAGACTCTGATTAGAGGGACTCTAGAATGCAGTATTCCGTCCTGCCGCAATCTGTACACGGTAGCTCAAGAGCCTACGACGTAAGCCTAATATTACATACA